CAGGCTGTGCTGGAGCTGCAGGGAAAGGTTTTCCAGCAGGGAAATCTGCTCTATTCCCTGTGGACTGACCTGCTGGGAATGTCCTTAAATCCCAAAATAACAGAATCCCTCTGTGGAGCTTTGTGCAGTTTCTTACCATTCTATTTTCTCTTAATAGATTTTTTTAGCCTGATGCCAAAATGCCAAAAAGCAATTTTAACAATGAGCAGAAGCAAACCCTATCTTCCAGTTAATTCTTGCTCAGCCATTCTCCTCTCCATGTGGAGCTGGCAACAATGGATMCATAAAGGTATTACCCAAGAGGAAAATCTTTCCTAGGCTTGYAACTTCCATTAAATACTCTTTTAATCTGGAACGTTTTTCATTTCTTTGGAATGAGCTGAAAACAATTCTTCTGCAATAGGAGATTACTTTTTTCTCCCTTGCTCTTTCATATCTTATCTTTTCTTTATTCCCAATGATTGCAGAACAATAACAACGATTCTCAAAAGTAAGCAGAGGAGTTTTTACAGAGCTGTTCTTTAAACCTCATCTTTATTCCAGGGCAGACATGAAATTTATGGAACATTTATTGAACATTTATGGAACATTTATGGCAGCTGGCCCAAAGCCTTCCCTTTTAAATGCCCATTTCCCTGATTTCTATGGGGGATGAATAGGAAAACGCACTCAGAATATGGGAATTGATGGAATCACGGGATKGTTTGGGTTGGAATTGATGGAATCAGRATGGTTTGAGTTGGAAGGGAGCTTAATCCTCCAGGGTGCTCCAAGCTGGCCTTGGACAGTTCCAGGGATGGGGCAGCCCCAGATTTTCTGGGAAGTGGGAAAGTGCAGCTGACACAGCTCCAAGAACAGAGCAGAACTCCGCACTTTTCTTTGCTCTGGGGAGCTGGGGGCACTGATGCCTCAGAAATTCAATTTGTCTAGCGGTTCCATGAGATATGCCAGCTGTAATCCCGACCTCCCTGTCATTGCAGGTGTTCCCCAAGCCCCCTGGAGCTGAAGATGGACGTGAAGAGGGTCAAGGACTACATCTACTGGCTGTACTACCAGTACCTGCTGGTGACGTGCAGCTACGTGCTGGAGCCCTGGGAGCAGTCCATGTTCCACACCATCACYGTCACCGTGGTGGCCATGGTGGTGTACACAGCCTACGTCTTCGTGCCCATCCAC